GCCAGGTGGAATACCGCGCTTCAGAAATAAAATTTGCCTCTAAGAGGTCTTTTACAGCTTTTTCAGCAGCCTCCGTTTTTTCTGGAGACTGCCTACGCCTACGTTGTACTACTGCCTTGGCGGCTGGATCAATGGCGAGGTGATGACAGGCGACCTCAGGGTCGAGTCCGGGCATCTCTGCAGCGCTCCAGGCGAAGAGATCAGCATTCTCGCGCAGACAGGCCTTGATTTGCTTCCTGGCCAAGTCGGGGAGGTCCTTTCCAATCTTCACTCCCTTGGTCGGGTCTGCTCCGAGGGGAACGAGTTCGAAATCGCCGTCCGGAATAGGTCGGAGGGGGATTTGCTCGCTGCTGGCCGGCTCGTCTTGGTCAAAACGGGCGTCGAGCGCAATGGAGTCGACCTTTGGTGGAGCCTTCTGAACTTCTACCTCAGGAGATGCTCTATCGGGCTCTTGCTTTGTCTTCTTGATGGGCCTAGTGCTGGGACCCACGTCGACAGTATCCCGACCCCTTGAAGCGGCGTTGAAGCACCTGCGGGCAGCAGCGAGGTCGCCCTGGATGGTGGCTACCCTCGCCCTCTTGGTATAGAACTTCATTTTTAGGTGGACAGTTGAGGGGACCGCTGTCAGCTCCGCCAATGTCGGCCTCCCCAAGATGCAATTGTACAGGGACGGGCAGTCAATGACGAGGAAGCAGACCTTCACCTGTCTTGTAGCAGTTCCTTCCCCGAATGTCACGAGGAGCTCGACATATCCCCAAGGTTTGGACGTCGAGCCGTTGAAGCCTTGAAGGTCCGAACCTATATATGGAGACAGATGGGAGTCGTCCAGTTGTAAGGTCCGGAACAGCTGGGTGTACATCACGTCGACGAAACTCCCTTCGTCGACCAGGATGCGATGCACGTCAAAATTGGCCATCTTTGCCCTTATCAGCAAGGGGATGACTGCGTTCGGTGCTCCGCCGGGGAGCTCTTCCAAGTAGAAGGTGATAGGCTCTGATCTGCCCCTCACCATTTCGAAAGTCACAGTTTGTGGAGGAGCTTTGTCGACCAGTTCGTCCAACTTCCTCTTGGCCGAGTTGATGGTGAGGTCGTTGAACCCTCCCCCGTTGATGACCATGGCGGAGGGGAAGTATTCCCACCTGCTGTGTGTCGTCAGGGGCTCCTGCAGGAGCTCGGGAAGTTCGAAATCCTCGGGCCTGGTTACCGAGAAGGCGGTCTGGATTGGCACCGACTCGTCAGATGGTCGGGCATCTTCTTCGGGCTCCTTTGCCTCGCGGGCTTCACGACGGGGAGCGTCGTTTCTCCTGTACTGTGCAAGTCTCCCTCCTTTGATGAGGGTTTCAATGGCATCCTTCAGGTGGACGCAGTCCTCTGTCAAGTGACCATGACTCCTATGGTACTGACAGTACTTGTTTTTGTCTACTCCTGGCTTGGCAGGAGCTGGTCGGGGACGCTTGACGCCACCGTCTTTAAAATCTGTGCTTGCACACTCCGCCAGAATACGCTCGCGGGAAGCCGTGAGCGGAGTGTACTCAGTAAACCGGCCCGAGGGGCCCCTTTGTTCCCGGACCTCCCGGGGTCTGTCTTCCTTCCTCTTCTCTCCGGTGCGTCGGGGAGGAGGGTCTTGTCTCGAGCTGCTGCCATGATTGCGAGCCCTGGAGTCTCGTGCCCTGTTGGCAGCTTCTCTCTCCTCGTAGTCCATATATGCTCGGGCTTTGTCGAGGAGAGCATCAAAAGTTGCAGGTGGCTCGATGCCCACAGCTTTCCTGAATTCTGTGCCGGGGAGGAGGCCCCTCTCCAGCAAGTATCTTTTCATATGGTCCGCGCAGGGGACCTGTATTGCTTCCCGGTTGAAGCGGTTGATGAATTCCCTCAAGGTCTCATCATGTCTTTGGATGATGGCCTCGAGGGCTGCCTCGGTCTTCGGGTGGCGACGAGAGGCCGTGAAGGAACTGATGAACTGATTCTTCAAGTTCCGCCACGAGGTGATGGAGCCCGGGGCAAGTCCTTTGTACCAATCCATGGCCGCCTTCCTGAGAGTTGTTGGGAAGAGACGGCACTTGATGGGCCCCCCGACATTGTGATAGTGGAGCATGGCTTCGAACCCGTCAATGTGGTCGACTGGGTCCGCCACTCCATCATACTCCTTTAGGTGTGGGGGCTTCTCCATGCCCGGGGGAATAGGTGCGTCCATGATGGCCTGCGACAGGGGACCGCGGGGGTCGTCCTCGTCGCTCCTTTCTGGAGAAAGAGAAGGGGTCCTGTAGTGATGTCTGGCACGCTGGTCGTGCTGAGATTCCCTCGAGCGTGATGCTCGGTGATTGAAGGTCACACGCCCGTCTCTGTTGTGCCTCCTGTCGTGCCTTGATGGGTCGCGACTGGGCTCTTCGGCAGGGATGACGGGCTGTCTTTCATACTGGGGCCGCCTCTGCCTTGGTGGGGGAGAGGGGCTCCTAGAGTTCTCCCTGTAATGTCTCCGCGGGGGAGTAGGGTGTCGAACTTCTCCGACCCGAGGAGGTGGAGATGGTGGCCTTTGATGTCTCCTCGGGGGGCGTCGGTCATTTTCAAGTGCCCTTAGCCTTTCTCCTTGGGCGAACAGGAGATAGTTCGTCTGGTTGATGGCCGCGAACAGTGCCTGAGTCGTGGCATCTGCCCCGGCAGGGACTTGGACTTCATAGAACCGGGCAGCCTGGCGATAGGCGAGAGCCTCCGGATCGTCTTCGAGTCTTGGAGGAGTTGTCGAGGAGGACGCAGTGTTCCCGTCCCTGCGGGTGGAAGGTCCAGGGGCGGTTGTCACGGGGACGGCGTTATGGCCGGCATCACTGGGATTGTCCAGGTGCCCATTCTTGTCCGCGGGACCGTTGTTGGTGTCGAGGACGCGGGTGTGTTGTTCTTCACGAGTTGGAGTAGCCATGACAGTGAATGGATTGAGCTTTGGTCTTTGAAACTGTTCGTTAGACGGGGAAGCTGTTTCCCACAGACGGCGCCACTGATCTGACCTGATCAGAAGGTTTGGACCGTCACGGCTTACTCCGAGCTGAAGGCTTTTTGAACGAGGAGGGGGGGGGTACCTGCAAGGCACTCCGATGCTAAAGTCAGTGGGAGTACGAGCAGATAATAGAGTTGAGGTTAGAATGATGAATACCTGACCCTCTGGAAACAGAGGGTATTTATAGCCCTCAGCGCTGGGCCAAGGTTCCTTCATTGGGCCGGGCGGATTTGGCCCAATGGAGGAACTGCCAGGTTCTACGTGGGTAGTGGGGACCAGCACGTGGTCCCCTTCCTGGATATGCTGCATGAAGTGCGGGCGGACGGAGACGCGGTCTTTCCGGAGTATCGTTGGGGCAATGGTGGACTAAGTCTGCCCTAGCAAGTTAGCTCGAGACCATGTCGAGCTGCGCAGCACGGTGCCGAGCTCGACGCCAAGACCTCGAGCTGGACAGCGAGTGTCGAGCTGGAAGCCAGGACATAGAGCTGGACGGCAGGCTGTCGAGCATGACTTCATCGTGGGGCTGGACACTGAGATGTCGAGGTGGACATCAGGGTGTCGGGCATAGACGTGACCCCCTTTGCCCAGTGTGGTCCTTAGTGAGTCCCTTTGGACTGGGCCTTAGTAATGCTTTTGGGCCTGTCGGGCCCAGTCCAGAACAATATCCACCATATGTAGCGCTCCACAATATACATGACACATTGATATTATGTTTAAGTGGAACTCCAACAAATCTATCTATTCATATAACCATTCTTTCTCTCACATCCCATTCTTCTCTTACCTAGTAGTTCAGACATGTCTCTACCCGTTCGAATTTTCAATAGACCTCAACCTCGATCTTTAGACGTCACTCGCCTAACAACGTCACTCCCCTAAGTTTTAAGGAAAAAACAAATTTAAACAAAACTTCACATCATATTATTTAACATGATACTATTATGGAGTTATGCTTAAATTTATTTTAAAAATTAATCATACAATTCTTTGTATATGGTGTATTTTAAAAGTTATTTTTATTCGTTTTCTCATTCAATTTCATCTTTCTCCACATTCTCTAAGAGTATCATTTTTCATTAATGCAGGATCTACACTCATATGTAACTACAGGGAATCCAAATCATTATTTTGACAACAACTTTACAATAGTAGTATACTGCAATGAGTTATTAGTTAGCACTCTCTAAGACTAGCATGAGGTACAGATAATAATTGGAGACAAGGATGTGTCCAGGTGGCCCTGTGCCTGTGCAACAAGTGCGATAACACAGGATCCCAAATATTTGGACCTCAATTATCTATTATATTATAATTAATTATAGATCTTATTGTTAAAATAAATAGGGTCTCTAAACCGTTTGGACCGGCCGGCCTGAATGTGTGTTGAGACAAGAATCCGACATATAAATCTCAAAGATTTTGTTGTTTGCTGGACATTTGGTATATAGAAGACAATATCGTGGACGTGGAACAATACTGGCGGCACCATCTAACTCGCAGCAATATGCACTCTCTATATTATTACTATTACCATAAATTTGATTGCCAGTTTTAAAGCAACTAAAAAAAGGATGACATACATCAAAATGGTGATAAAAAATGAAGTTTTTTAAGTAGTAACTTTTTCCTTTTCAATCTGGTTTTGGCAAGGCACGGCAATCAAGATAAGTAATTGAATATCATGCGCCATGGGTACGTCGTCTACTACTCATCTCTTCAATTTCCTCTATCTAAGTATATAAATTTCAAAGTATTTAATGATACTACTAATTTTTTTCATTATTAAATTCTTTATATTATTTTAATATTAAATACCTTGACTTGGCACACTCGCATTTTTTTTGATAATTTATAATTAATTTATTTAAAAAAAAATCTAATTATATTATGTACCGGTTGGAGTGTTTATTAATTTATATTATGTATTTAATTAGATTTTCTTTTGCAAACGAGGAGGTTATATTACTAATTGGTTGGAGTGCTTCTTAACTACATAACACTTACAATTCCAATGCAAGTATATCCATTAGAAGTCATCAACACCATAACTTTCAATAATGGAGAAACACACCATTTTCAACTTTCGGTACCTCACTACCCAACCATAAATATCCGCCCCTGTATCTCTTCAAACCCCAATCCATCCTTTCTCCAATCTTCAAGTGTTCGCAATACTCAGGTAGTCAACACCAATCCATGAAATTTATCGATTCGCTGTTTCTATTTCTGTTTTGAATCTTATCGGTTTCAAACCCAATTTCATGAATATTATTTTGTTAAACTGATTAGGTTAAATTCCTTCATATGATGTTGAATATTTCAGATCTTGATTGAAGAATATTTGTATGCTTCAAATGTGAAATTTGATTTTAATGTTTTTTAGTTGTTGTTACAGTTTTGTTAATCTGATTAGGGTAAATGCTTTCATACTCTTTTGAGGTAAATATGGTTGTTTCAGCAATTCCTGATTCTAATTTTTCATGTTGTTACAAGATATATCATCATCAATGGCTCGCCGAGTTGAAGCAGTAAAAGTCAAAGGATTTATGGAAGATCGCTGTTAGGTGCAAACATCTGCGAATTGTGACGAGCGCTTTGAAAAAGGAACATATTGAGATGATTTTGGTTGATTCTAAGGTATTTTGGAAATGTTTATGTTCTTAGTTTGTATTTGCAATGTTGGTGTTTGTAATACTAACTTTGTATGTTTGTTTATTGTAGCGAAATATGATTCAAGTCATTGTGCCACCCTTCTTGGTTTAGAAATTCAAGGAACATCTCGCTGCTGGATGTTCATACATAATGCATAATTTCAAAGTGTCAAACAATGATTTCTCTGTTAAATCCACTACTCATAGTTTCAAATTGGTGTTATGTGGGCCAACTTATGTTAAGAAGGCAGAACTCCCTGATATTCCTATGTATTACCTGAACATTCTTCATTTGGATTCCATTGTTGAAGGAAAATTCCAGTATAATGTTTTTGTTGGTATGTTATTAATGAATTTTAGTTTAATTAATAAAATTTATGTGTTTAAACGTCTATAAATCTATATAGTATATAACACATGAATTATTTTAGATATTCATGGAGGAGTGACCGAGATTTCTCAAACCCAAATGAATGTTGATAACAGCAAGAGCAAAATTGTGTTTTCAATTACTGATAATAGGTATGTTTCATGTCCTTCTTTATATCATATTATTGCATTAACTAAACTAACATCATCATATTAATGATGTTAATATGTTTTATGAAACAACAGACCTGAAGTACAATGTACTCTTTGGGGTCAACTTCCCATAAAATTTCACGATTATTATAAAAGTCATAAGGAAGATGGTAATATAGTTGTTCTGTTGATTAATGCCAGGATTAAGGAGGCTCAAGGTTTGACACTTTCAAATTTTTTGACTAAATGTGAATCCAAAATTATGTAACACCAAATATTATCCTTATGTTCTTTATAGCAGTATGTTCTAAAGAATCAATGAAACTTGCAGGAGGGTTTCCTTTGAACACCTCCAATGCTTGGAATAACACAAAGTTACTGATTAATGATGTTACCATTGATGAAGTTAGCAAACTCAGAGACGGGTGTTTGGTGAACTCATTTTAATTTTTCGTGTTGTAGCATATGGTTTTATTAACGCATTACATGTCAAACTGATTGTGAAATTTTGTCTTATATTTCATGCAATCTAAATTATGAATTGCCATTATTATCTTCATCAAGTCTTCAAGTGGACACAACATAAAACTCATATTATTCTGAGTTTTATAAGTTCGCGTGGAAGGCATAAATTTTTAGTCTTGCTGAAATAACAACTCTGTAACATGTAAGACATGTTTCATTGTATAATCACATTATGATTAAGAAACATATCAAACTAACTATAACTTTCATCATTTTATCAGGGGACTACATGTGTTACTGTTGCGACTTTGGATAAATTTGAGGCTGGACAGTCAGGCTGGTATTATGATGGATGTGTTGATTGCACAAAAAGTGCGTCATTGCATGATGGAAAGTTGGTCTGTTATTCCAAACACATTAGTCCAGAGCCTGTACCAAGGTATTATGTGTATCTCTATTTAGGATTCATGGTTTTCAATTTTTTTTGGCATTACATTCATGGTTTTTGATTTTCTTATAGATATAAACTCAAAGTTTTGGCTGTTGATGGTAAATACAAGGCCACATTCATTTTTTGGGACGGAGATTGCATCAAGTTGATTGGGAAGTCTGCTCTTCAAATGAAAGATGAATTGATAGAGGTATATAATGACACCTTATTAAGTTTGGTTCTTTTTAAGAAATAGTGTAATACAATTCATAGATTTTATGTAGGTCGGTGAAGATGATCCGCTTGAATTCCCTTTTGCACTTGATGCAATCCTAAAGCAGGAATTGGCTATTAAGGTTGTTTTTCAACCTAACAAAGGCCTACTTTCTATCGTTAGTTGCAAAGTTGATGAATATTTTTGTAAGAGAGTTAGAGGGAGTTTCAGCTCAGAAGAAGTAATCTCAGTGTAAATGCAAAAATATCATAGCCGGACACTCTTGAATTAATTGGACTGGTATTATTTTGTCTTGGCAACCTACTTCAAAGCTTCTACCAACGGAGCCTTCGTCCCAAGATGAACCAATATCCTTTACTGTAAGTTATTAATTCAAACTTGAACACTCTATATAAAACACAAATCTCCATACATTGTTTAATGTTGATATATTATATCCACATTGCCAGCATGAACCTTTATCTGCATCTGCCGATTATGACCATGCTGTTGGAAATTCAAGTCGGACTCCATCAAAAAGGACTTTACCTAATGATGTGGAAGATATTAAGAGTGTCCAACTTTCCTCAACCAAGTTAGTTAAGGATATCAAGAAGTAGAAGTAGTTACATTCACATTTATCTTATGTTATGTTATTGTTAGTTTTGAAGAAACCAATCTGATTGTTTGTAGTTTATTGCTTTGAATACTTTGGATCTGTTTCAAAAAAAATTAGTTTCATCTCTTTAATAACGTTTGAGGATTGTCGACCACCATCTTATATTATGGTTAATTATTTTGAATGTTTTACCGCGTTGTGCACATAGTATATCTTTGTCTATTACTGTCACATCATTTTAGTAGTATGCGTCCCGAACCAATGCAAATCCTGTTTTTAATATACTCAATAAATGATGTTGTTTCATTGTTTATATTATGTTTTCAATGGTGTCAAAAAATAATTTGTTTGTACATTATTTAAACTTCTTAAATAATTCTCAATTTCATATATGCTTTCTCTATATGGTATCCATATTCTCTTCATATATTGGGATCCATAAAACTTTCATTTTTTCATTCATTACAGGCCTAAACCATTTATATCTTATACTTGACTACAATAACCTTCAAAATGAATAGTCATTTGACTTCATGCAATTCAATAAAGAAGCGGGTACATACAATCATTAGCCTCAAAATATAACATGTTATTATAACTTTCACACTATTCAGTTAATGTAATTGTTATTTAGTTAGATGTAATGCGTGGATTATGTTAAGCAGGTGAAAAAACTATTAGAAGTAAGAAATTGTTGGAAACATACACTATTATACTATTAACTAAAAGAACACCAAACTGGTGAAATACAGTTTGCAACAGCAGTGATACACTATTATACTGAGTAGACTAAACCACTAAGAGGCTAACAACAAATTAAAGAAACACATTACATAAACGGTGCATGCCTAATAGCAAAGTCTGAACAAAACATATAACAAAGCTAAACATAAACATGATATCATTTCCAGAACTAAAATATAACATTGTTTCCAACTTGGTACCAAATTCCTGATTTTTTGCAGCACAAACAAACATAATATCCACTTCAGTCTTTTATCTGAATTTCACCTTTTCGGCACAACCTCACAAACATGATATATCTGAATTGTAAGTGCATGCAAGCGTATCTGCCACCTTCAGGTTTTCCCCTTAGCATATGAATACCACCCTTTTCCCAAGTACATTTCCTCATATTTCCTGCTATATTTTATTAGCTTGCATGAGTGATACTCTCCGGTGTGGAAATCCCTAACAAGGCATGATCTAATGTCGGGACGGAGGCAATTTTCTATTGCGTTAGCTGGGAAATGCTGCATGTCAGAACACATACAGACAGTAAGTAAAAATTTAAATACTACAAAATGTAATAGATTGACTCATATAGTTAAGGATATTACAAAAACTTCATTCCCCTTCTTTCCAGATTTTCTTAACTCTTTTAACCAAGTCATCTCTTCCTTTAACTCTCCACCACTTCCATTGGGATTTGAAGGTTCTCCGACGATTCTCTCCTTTTTTACTTTGTTCCTTGCAACATTGATTTCTAGAAACAACACATCAGCAGGAGCATTCTCAAGTAATACAGTCTTTGGCTCTTCCTTAATGTTGGATAGCATATCATAAAGTTGAGAGGAGTTTAGTGGCACAAATATGCCAGTAATAACAGTTCATGAATGACTATAATACTACTTCAAACGATTGCATGAAACCATATTAATAATAGAGGAAAAATGGTTTGTAAGATCAGAAATTGAGACTTACCCACTCAAGTTTAGAGAAGACATTCTCACGTTTCTCTTAGATAACCTGATGATATAGAGAGAGATTTTCAACTACAAGTGAACAAATCCGATACAATGAAAGCATATCATACACAAGTTATCATAAATAGAAAAAAGGACATGCATATGTTACTTCTAATAATGGTTAAAGGTCTTTCTTTGATTTGATGTCACAATACCTACTAATGCAGAAAATCTTCTAATCATCCCTATTATAGTTCTTGGTATAATGTGTCATGCATTGCAACCCACAAACATTATTTTTTACTGCAATATTATTCCCCTTTCATTTAAGTTTCTAACATATGTTATTACACTTTGGTAACTACTATTAACTCCAGCTTTTTTCGTTTTCTTAAAACTAATAAAGTTTATAATCTATTATAATGATGGAAACAAAGCATAACTAATATATTTAAGCCTTCCATATTTATAATGATGATGGTAGTATCTCAATGTGTACCAGATGCATTTATTCAACTCTTAACTCATTGAATATTAAAGTCAGTTCAGTTTCCAACATGCGGCATATGATAATGTTTAACTTTATTTGTATGTAAATGACCTTACATTTTACAAATCCGTGCTATTTTTTTCCAATACTATCATTAATCTATAGAGAAAAATTAATTTATTAATTAACATCACGAGAGAGAAGTTTTTACATATACATAAAACCAATAACAAATATATTCATTGATTTTTGTTCATATCAGTCAAAACTAAGTAGACAAAATGAGCTTGCAAACTGTATTCGTTAATGACTGTTTCATTGCCTGATTTTAGATGCTCAATTTGTGGTTAGTCTGTGTTTTTCAACTATCATGGATTCACATATTCTCGACAGGAAAAAATTAGCATCCATAGCAAGACGCAAAAGGAAGTAAATTATCAAAGATAGAAGATCTAAAAGGAACATAGTTGATGAAAACAATATGAACTGCAACTTATCTTTTATTAACATCAGTAGTCCTACCAAAAATCCTTTCAGAACACCTCTATCCAATATCAGTTCTTTAGATTTGAACGCGAGGAAGTGGAATTGCAATGCAAATCCAATTGGAATTGTTCTATCAAATGCACATAGATTGAATGTGGGTGTGAATCATGCTGTTTTTCATCCAACCTCCTTAAGCATTTTGGTTTGGAGAATAGATATACTGCCTCTTCATCAATATCTAATCTCAAGACTCAAACATCTGCATTAGACAGCTCTAAATCAACCATTACTTTGATCGTTTATCCATACAACATTCATTTACATGTTCAAGGCAGACAAGGAAGAGAATTATTAGACACAAGGCTAATGTGTCAAGTATACATGACGACAACATTGTCAACAATAATGGTGGTGATGTGTTGAACTATTCTCCACTCACTTTAAATTCAAAAACGGATCTAAGTGGTATAATCTCCTCATCATCTAATCAAAGGTACAATAATATACATGCACAGACAAGTGGATACGTATATTCATCTAAAATACAGTTGAATGTTGGTATCATTCAGTCGGTTGCTGCCAATCTTTTCAATACATTTCCAAACATTGATCGTGGACTTGCCTCTTCATCCACAAATCATTTACCATCTACTACAAATGCTAACATTTCTACTATAAATACTAACATTGAAAGTGACGTGTCAAATGAAGAATGTTCAACAGATGAATATTTCAGCGATAGTTAATGCGAATTCATAAATAAAAATGCTGAGGATGACACATCTTCATATTCAGATGACGATCAATACTATGCTAGCATTTCTACACCAGTTAATTGTCCCAATTCTTGTACGTGCCGGTATATTAATTTTTTATTATTCGTTACGCGATGCTTAAGTTTCAAAAACACCAATTTAAGATACTTAAACTTCCTATTTATTTACATGCTATGTTTCATTATCTTTGATTTATTTAGGTTACTCAGACATTGGTGATAATGCAATTGAATGCACCCATTACAGAGCACTTATGTGGTATCAAGAAAAGATAGACAAACGAAAACATAGTGTAGTTCCCAAGTTCCAATTATGTTGTGTAAATGGGAAATTTGTGTTACCACTTTTGAAAACACCACCACCGTTACTCAAACATCTTTTGTTTGATAACAATAATGTAGACTGTCGAAATTACCAGCAACATTGCAGATTACAACATTATGTTTGCCTTTATTTCTCCTGAAATGAAGTTTGACAATAGATTCCAAAAAGGTAGAGGACCATCTAACATAAGAATACATGGACATTCTTTCCATAGAGTTGGGAGCATGATAGCTTTGCTTGGACAATCACCGGAGTTTGTGTAACTTTTTATTTATGACACTGACAATAAGATTCAACATAGAATTGAAGGAATATGGTATTGCTTCTATTCTTACCGATCATGATGGCATTAAATTTTTTTATTGCTTTTTTTATGCATGCTAACTATTATTTCTATTTTGCAGTAACAATCCTAATATTGTTACAGGAACTGTCAACAAATTGAAAGCTATGCTGGATGAGTTCAACACACACGCTAAATCATTTAGAATGGCTCAAGATAGATTAAAGGATACTCCCGTGCTTGATCTAAAGCTGCAGTTAATAGTTGATAGATCAAAGGATGGAAGAACCTACAACCAACCGACTGTTTCTAAGGTAGTTGCACTTATCTTTGGTGATGTTGATACAGGTTCTAAAAGGTATATCATTATTGAAAAACAGAGCGGAAAGCTGAAAAGAATAAGTGAGTTTCATCCAAGTTATCTCGTGTTACAATGTTCGCTTCTGTTTCCATATGGGGAAGATAGTTTTAGACTTCGTGTTCTACACAGAGAAATAAATGCAAGAAAAAAAGGTAAGCAAAATAAGCTTACCATTAGAGAATGGCTTACTTTTAGGATTCAAAGCCGTCAACATGAAGCACATACTCTTTTGAGGTCAAGGCGGTTATTTCAGTAATTTTTGGTCGATGGATTTACTATGATGGAGTCCCAGAGATTGAATTATATACGCAAGCATAAAAAAAAACTTAGAGTGTAAGTACTCCAATCTGACTGGTCCCGAACAAAGGGAAAACACTCAAGGGGCAAACAAAGGTAAAAGAGTCATTTTACCGTCAACCTATGTTAGAAGCCGAAGATACATGGAACAACTGTATTTTGATGGGATTGCAATATGCAGCATATTGGTTTTCTGGACCTTTTTATCACTTTTACTTGCAATCCAAATTGGCCAGAAGTTCAAAAGTTACTTAACAAAATTAATCTGCAACCTCATGATTGTCCAAATATTATAT